ACTTTGTATTTGCCCAACTTGGCTCTGTTTTATCCCCAGTATACTGAGCTCAAACGAGCTCTTTTCTAGAAAATTGCATTATCCACCTGAAGTCAACTTTACGAACAAAATAAACAAACTCAAGTGTGTGTTTAATCACCCACTAAAATTGTGACCATTACATTTCATCAGATATACAATCTACTATAGCAGATACGCGTACACCGACCTGATAGAGGACACACTCTCCGTCCATATTGCCATTGGGGCTCTTACTCGAGCCTCCACCGCGGGACAGCTAGGATATAGGCAGAAGGACATTACCGACAAAGATATGGGATACTATAATGGCCATTTCTGGCTTATTTGCCGGTGTCGTCCGCAACAGACACAGCAAGGAAGACCCCGAAGCAACTACAACCCACTAAATCGCCTGCTACGGGTGGCATATGAGCGAAACTTCTGAATGAGCTTGCAGAACAACTGCCCTCCCCACTTTCCAAGATCTTTAAAAAGTTTGATGGAGAAGGTGGACTCAACCTACCGATTAAAAGCTGGCCAACATAACCCCTACATATAAAGGAGGAGAGAGAAGCTCACGTATATCTTTAGACCAATTAGTCTCACGAGCATTTGTCGCAACCTAATGGAGTAAGTAATAAAAGCTGAACTAATGAGACATATTGAGGAAAATAACTTGCTAATCGCAAAGCAAGATGGATTTAGAAGTGGGCGATGTTGTCTCACTCACCTTTTAACATCCATGGAAAACTGGACGAATTCATTGGAAATGTGTTCGTGGGCCGATGCGATCAACATTGTATCAACAATATCAAAGTGGCATCAAATGATCGTAAATTGAAATCTATTCAAATATGTAGCCGACGTTCTTACAGGCAGACGCCAGCATTTTTGAATTGGACACGCCAATTCAGAATGGAAAAACGTTTCCAGTAGGATTCCACAGGGGACCGTTCTGGGTCCCATTCTGTTTCTAATATATGGGAACGACTGCCTTGATTGCCTCACCTGTGAGGAAGTAATGTTTGCGGGCGATCTGAAGATTTCAAATTTAATCGAAAGCTCGGAGGATAGGCATAGTTTTTAAAATAGCTTGGAAGGCTTTCAAAAGTGGTGTGATAAGTGACTACTGCACCTCAATTTCAACAAACAAGTCTTTCGCCTATGGTCTAGTTACAGAAAGATGACACGATTTGCGTCTAAGAATTTCAATGGAGGTCACCAATTCGAGTAAACGAACCAAGTGATCTAGGCGTATATATGACGTCCACGCTCAAACCATCCACGCACTGTCAAAACTGTAAAGAGGGCAATAGACCTCTTAAGAGCTATCAGAAGGTCCTTCCTTTATTTTGATGAAGAGCTTTTAGGGCCATTGCTTGGAGCATTTAGCTGGCCAACGTTAGAATATTGCGCTCGGGAGTGGCGCTCTGGATTAAGTAAGATAACGCAGAGCTGGAGAAACTTCAAGGGAGAGCGACAAAATTAGGCAACGGCCTGGAAGGACTAC